CCGCGACACGTCGACGTCGCTCATCTCGCGCGAGAACGACGATGTCCGCGACCGAAATCGCTTGCTGCCGCTGCTGCTGCTCGAGCTTGGCGCGGCGACGAGCTCGGCGAAGGCGGGGCACGCGTACGTGCTGTCCATGGACGAGCTGCGGTTGCGCGCTTCGGAAACGAGCGGTGGCTTGTCCATCATCCAGTGCTGGCCTTTCCCGACGCTGTGCCAACGAAAGCCTCGCCCGTTTCGGACCCGCACGTTCCACGAACGTTCTTCATTGCAGGCAACCTTCCGAGGGTGCCAGACAAGTTGACACCATGGTACTAGTACCCGGTAGAGCATGAACAACTTGACGTTGTGTATGGTGTCAAAAGTAAATGCAGGACACTGAATGAGGCATTCTCGCACCACCACTGGTCTGTCGCACAGGTGTCGCTTTGGTACGACGCGCCGACACCTATCAGTTCTACTATGGTCCATTGCCGTAACTGATGGATCTGTCGTGGGACGTTGGGGCGCGCGTCGAGGTGTACTGGGCGAATGAAGCCGACTGGTTTCAAGGGACCATCCAAGAGTACGATGCGCAGGTCGGGTACCGCGTCCTGTACGACGACGGCGACGAACAGTGGGAAGACGCCAATAACACAGAGCGTCTCCACGTGCTGCGGGAGACGAGTTGCGCCCACGATGTCGAGGCCATGGAGCCGCCCGGCGACGACACCGAAGACGACGCCGTCGTCGGTGCCATGGAGCCGCCGTCGGACGAGTTGGGCGACGAGGACGGCGATCTCCAAGCGTCCACGGTTGACGTCGCCACCATGTTCAAAGTGGAAACCACACCCGAGGCATGGCACGAGACAATACCATCATCGCAAGTAGCGACAGTCTCCTCGCTGGAGCAGTGCGAGAGCAAAGCTTTGACGCGTTCGATATCCGACCAACGGCCGATGACAGTGACCTCGCTTCCTCTTCCGCAGTCGACCTCGACGCGACCAGCAGGCGTCAGTGCCAGAAGCAACGTCATGGGCGATACCGACGACGACGACCCGTCTGTTGATTGGACACCGGCTCCAATCGCAACTCGACCCGCTTCCAGTTGCGGCCCGTCGATACCCAGCGGGTACGAGGCCCACGCCGGGACGATCCATATTCCGTATACGAGCCACTTACGACCGCCAGACAAGCCACTGGCGCAGCGACGACGCGCCGGCCCTGGCATTGCCATGTTGCAAGGCCGCGTTGAGTACCTTCGCAGCGAGCTCGACACGATCTACAGCGCGTTCGTCAAGGTGTCGTTCGTCGCACCTGGTCCTGGCAACGTCATGCTGCGCTGCAAGACTGTGCTCTACACGACGTCCGTGATGCCAGCGAGCGCCCGACCGACGTGGAGCAACGCCACTTGGCGCTACGAGATCCCGAACGAGTTTGACATGAAACCATGGGCCTCGCTCCGCGGCGACATCCTTATTGCGGTATTTGATCACAGTCCACACAACAACCTTTTTGTCGGCCAACTGCTTGTGCCGGTGGCCTCGCTCCTCGACGACGACTGCCCCGAGGGCCTCCAGACGCGCTTTGACGAAGAGTATGCGCTCACGTCGCGTCAAGGCAAGGTCCTTGGTGGTCTCTACCTCCGCCTCTCGCACCAACTGCAGCTGCCGCCGAGCGATGCATCGCCCACACTCGCTACCACACACAGCCCAATGGCTCCAAAAAACCCACTGAAGAAGAAGCCCCAGGCAGCAAGTGCGAAGCGCAAGCACGTGGCCAGTCCTGCCATCAACCGCTCCAAGCGCGCCATCGAAATCGAGCGGGAGAATGCTGCCATTAAGAAACGCGTCGCGGCGGCAAAAGGCCGCGCTGTCAAGCTACCGACCGTGCCGGCTGGCGTGGCAGGCCACCGCGCCCACTCGAGCGTGAACCGGCAACGCGAACTCGCAGCGATTGAGGCCGAGAACCGGCGTCTTGCCGCGCGCCGCATCCAAAAGCCGAAACCATCGACAGTGATGGAGCACAGTGAAAGCGATAGTACTAGCAAGACGTCCAAGTCACAACGCGTCGATTTGGAGAGCCAAGCCACGTACGTCGTGCAGGTCGAGCTCACGACGGCGGTCGCGGCGCTGCAGCACGAAATTGCCGGCCTCCAACAAGACGTATTTGCTGCCAAAGCGTCGCTCTCGCGATATA